CTTGGCGCTGACTCTGAGCCTCGCTGGGAACTGCGCGCCTCTCGGGTTTGCAGAGATGGCAGTAAAGATGAGGATTTGATTCCCTCGCCCTGTTTATCTCCCTCACATATCTTCATCTCTTGAATATAATACTCATATTCACTCCCTCGCTTGCTCTTTGTCTTTTCGTTCTGGGTTTGTCTGGATGTCTCTCTGTCTTCCTCTCTTCGTTCAGCAGTGAAAAGAAGAGAAGGAGAAAGCGCCCCCGAGGTGGTCAGTCGTCCGGCTCTGGGCTGGTATGTCTTACTCCAGTTGAGAGCCGCGGCCGCCATCCTCTTGGACCGTCATCTCCACCCCTTTTCTCCGGGCAGGCGCTGCGCTCTCAGCCTCTCCCACTGAGCAGGGCCCCTGACCCGGTTCGATTCGCTCTTGGCTGATGCTTATTAATCAAATGGGCTCAGTGGTGCATGGGCCGATCCGCGGAGGGAGCTGGACCCATTTAGTTGTCCCTCACCCCACCCTGTTGGACAATTTAACTCCCTATAAATAAACTGTACGTTTATGAGGAGCGGGTGGAACGGACGGCTCCGCGCCGCGCTGCGCTGCGCCACAGCAGGAAAGCCTGAGTGGGGCTGGAGGTGCGGGGCGGGCGCGCCGTCCGTGTGAGTCGCCGGCAGCTGGAAGCAGGCGCCTGTGTGCGGGGCGCCCCAACCTTCCCGTGGGACCTTGGTCCCAGGGGCCTGCCAGCTCCGTTCGGCGGTGGCAGCGGCAGCAGCATGTGCCAGGGCTGGGAAGCAGGAGGCAAATGTGGCCAGGGCTGAAAACAAGCTCGGCCTGCCTTCCGGACTGAAGGCGCCCTGGGAACAGAGGGGAACTACTCCCCGCCCCATCTAAGGCTCTTAATTAAGGTCACCGGCGGGATGAATCAAAAGCACCCCGCTGAACAAGTTTTTTTTTTCCCCCCTATCATAGATTGGGGGTGGGGGAGCGGTTCTGAATTCACAATTCTTGGAAGAGTAAATCTCCTCTGAGTGACTTGCCTCGTATATTTTTGAGTCTTGGGTGAGCAAACTCAGTCCGGCGACATTGTCCCGAGACTGTGGGCTTAAAATGGGACTCACTTTTGCCCTTTAAAAGACATTAAACAAGAAAACAAAACAAAAAAAAAAGCATTTGGACATATTATGGGCTTTTCAAAATTGCCATCTTCTTGCAGAGAGCAACCCATGTGCTTTTAAAAAAATATATATATTTTTTTCTCCCAGAGGAGCTAGTTTAACAACCCTTACCTTGGCGGGAGAGGGGAGGGAAGAGAAAGACAACTTCCTCCTACAGAAAGGAATTGTTTCAGGTGTGAGGTTTCGACCCCCAGAACGTGATAGCGGAAGACAAGGGGAGGGAGCCGGAGATGGATCGGCTCTCCGCGTGGGGGTCGTTTTCACTCTTTGGCATTAGGATGCGATTCAGTCCAGAACATTAGGGAGAAAAGCTAGGCATCTGCAATAAGCAACATTTAATTTTGGACAATAAGAACTGCGGGGGGACGGCAGAGTTGGGGCTTGGGGAAGCCCCGTGACCCGCCCGCTTTCCTGTGGACACCGTTGGAAAAATGGGCAAGTAGTAGAGTGACAATATGGCAGGCAGCGCGGACTCACCTCGCCGGCTACACGTAAAGAAGGGCTCCATTTGATTTATCACAGTTATTTACCTCTGATGTCAGCGAATGGGAATGAAGTGCATCTTGGTCTAATTAAAAAGGCCTAAAAAGGCATTCGAAATGGGTTTGCTATCTGATCACGGGATGTAAGTTCAGCGTTTGGCAGCTTTCTAAAATATTGCTTGGACTATTTAAACAGAACAATTAGCAGCATGCTGAAATGTTTGCATGCTATGCTTAGAAGCTTTTAGCTGTAAACTTTAAGGCGATCTGCTCCCCTTTAAGTTAAAAAAGGATGATGCTGCTTCCTTGTGGCGAAGGCTGTCAGGAACCCGCTGATCAATAAAAGTAAACTGGCGCCTCCACGGCTTGATTGAGCGGGAGCAAAGAGTCTGAGAAGTAGTCTCGGCCATTAACAATCCCCCAGGTAACGAGAAATGGAAGAATTACTCAGGTAAAATGATTAACATTGCTGTGGCATCTGAAAAGATGAACACAACAAGATAAGAAGGCTGCGCACCTCTTACTTTGGGGAGTGCTAATAGAATGTCTATTTTCTGCTGTCTTTTAAAGATAAATAGGAGAATTCTATTCATGTACAATGTCATTACCTTTGTAATTGCAATCCCATTGTAAAGACTTGTTCTGCATTTGCAAAGACAAACACTCTTCAGCTCTTCACTAAGGAGATGGCATCGGGTTCCCTGACTCCTGTTCCCTGTTCACACTCCAGGTGCCCCTCCTTCCCAAGAGGAGGACCCAAGTACTTGAAGCTATCAAACTGCTTTCATGGAAGCCGGCTGCTGTGGAAGACCGGCCCATGCCTCTGCTTTCCCATTACCCTCTACCCTCAAGCACAAAATGACAGTTGCTTCTCTCAAAAAAAAAAAAAAAAAAAAGCTCTTCCATCCTCTAATCCATTTCTCTATAGATAACCCTAACACCTTTGCTCTCAGAATCTTTTTTTTTTTTTCCTAATAGGCACACTTGGGCTCAACAATATTTTTTACTAAATGAGTGACTGAAAACGCGTTCATGATCGGAATTTATTAACTAACTGAATAAAAACCATTCTGCGTGAAGATAATAAAAACAAAAAGAAAGTTCCTTCCCTCTTAGTTTCCATTTACTCCGATCCTGTAGAGAGCCTCGCCTCCTCAGCCTCTTTAGAGACACAAGAGGGACATCTAGTGACCGTCATCGATATTTTTGATCCAACAGCAGCTGAGAAACACTAGGCATTAGGTACCAATGCAGTGCTGTACCTCCTGGGGCAGCCTTTTGAGCCAAGGCAGCTCCTTGGGCCAATGAGGACACTATCAAAATGGGCAAATTTTTTCCTGTTTATTTTTCTTTAAAATTTCA